GGGTGACACCAGCCTGGCCCAGGGCCCTTCCCAGGCTTAACCCCTTCCATGGGGGAGGACGGGGTGGAGGGGACAAGGGCCGGATCCAGGGCTCTTCCACCTGGTCCCTGCAAAGCCCCTTCCCCGCTCATTTACGGCAGCCGGACCTGCACCGAGGGATGCCAGCCCGGGGCGGCGTGCCCGGGGCGATGCTGGAGCCCCAAATCCCCAGCTGCTGGAGGCAGGGGATTACGGGAGGCGCTCCGGCAAGGAGCCAGACCCCGGGTGGGGCAAAGGAGGTGACCCCAGCCTCTGTCCCAGCCACAGAGTGGGGGACGGGAAGGTCCTGGGCTGAGGCTGGGGGCTCAGCACCGCTTGCTGTGAACCCCGGGCGATGTTGCATGCTGGCTAACTGACGGCGTTGTTAATCCCCAGGGGTATCTCAGCGCCTCCCAGTAGAGCAAAGCCCACGGCCCGGCTGGTCTGGCAGGGACAGGCAGGCAGCGCACTGTGGGGTCGACAGCTCCCGACCCCCCCCGAGAGCCCGGACGAGAGCAGGTCACCCCGAGCCCCTCCGCAGCCCCAGCACGGCTCCAAGCTGGATTTGGGGGGGCTGGGAGCGGCACCAGGCACCTCACCCCCATCACTCCCATGCTGGTGGGTCTGGATCACCCTGCCGTGCCCAGACCCCCCCGATGGGGGGCACCCAGCATGGCACCATGACCCCCGCTGGGTGGGGAAACTGAGGCAGGGAGGCCCCGCTGCTCGCAGCCGTCCCTGGGAGCGGCCGGCGGTGCCAGGCTGGCACATCCGGAGGAGCCCGGGGCTGCCAGCTCTGCCGAGGCGTATCCGCAGGGCAGGAGCAGGCAGGGGGTCTCCCTGTCCCCCTCAGCGCCCCCCCCCGCCTTGGGCACGGATGCCCAGCAGTTATGTGGGGGTGCGTGGGGCTGTGCCCCCCCAGTGCTACCCACAGCCTTGGGGGGACACCGTGTGCCCGCCCTGCTGGGGGGCAGCAAGGGGATGCCCGAGGGGTTGGGGGGCTCATACACCTCCTGCGGGGGGGTTCTGAGGGGGCTGGCAGTCCCCTGCCGCCCCCAGACCCCGCCTTTGGGGCAATGGGTCCCTGCCAGCACGGGTGCAAGCAGGGACCCCCAAAACTGCAGGGAGAGCAGAGCACCCAGGGCACCCAGCCCCCCCCCCGCCCCTTCTCCCCCGGGG